ACAATATAAAAATGATCTACTTTACATTATTGTTCAGAGTTTACTTACTTGTGTAGGTGTACTATATTCCTACCATTCATTCATTCATTCATTCATTCATTAACAAAATACTTTTTGGGCTTCTGCTATATGTGAGTTACTGGTCTAGGCGGTAGGGATATCAGGATAATAACCCAGAAAAGGTGCCTGCTTTCTTGGGTACTGCCTTCTCACAGCATTTGTCTCGACCATGTTGGCTTTATACAATTAGAGGGGTGAGTTCCAGCCCCTCACAGTCCTCTGCAACTCCTACTGTCACTAGCTTACCTGCTTTCTACAACCGAAAGTTTGGGGATCATCTTTGACAAATTCTATTTGTCTTTCCACCTCTACATTAAGTTACCAAATTCTATAGATTTTTTTCCCTCATTTACCACTCCTTTTTCTCCTCAGTTTTCACTGCCATCTTCCTAATTCAGCTCCTCATAAAATTAAGCCAAGATTACACTTACAGCCTTCTGACATAACTCCTTGTCTTCAGACTCTTCCCTCATCAATCCTACAAATCACAGCCAGATTAATCTTCCCCAAATCCACATTCATTAAAGCCAGTACCCTGCCCAAGAACTCCAATGACTTTCCAGTGCCCATTCATCAAATCCTCTACTTATTCGACTTTAGTAAAAAACAAACACTACTACCACCATTATGTAAGCACTACTGCATGCTAAGGGCTCTGCCTGCATCATCTCCTTTAAGCCTTACAACAGCCCTAGGAAGTAGGTGGCAATTTTTCCAATAAAAAAATGAGGCCGGGCGCGGTGGCTCAAGCCTGTAATCCCAGCACTTTGGGAGGCCGAGACGGGCGGATCACGAGGTCAGGAGATCGAGACCATCCTGGCTAACACGGTGAAACCCCGTCTCTACTAAAAAAATACAAAAAACTAGCCGGGCGAGGTGGCAGGCGCCTGTAGTCCCAGCTACTTGGGAGGCTGAGGCAGGAGAATGGCGTGAACCCGGGAGGCGGAGCTTGCAGTGAGCTGAGATCCGGCCACTGCATTCCAGTCTGGGCGGCAGAGCGAGACTCCGTCTCAAAAAAAAAAAAAAAAAAAAAAAAAAAAAAATGAGTAAACTGAGGTTTAGAGCAGTTCAGTACCTTGCCTAATGGCCTACACTGGTATGCAGTGGAGGCAGAACTGGACCCCAGTGTGTTTGCCTTTAATCTCCAAGCTGTGTTAACTCCATTAAACCAAACTTTCACTTGCCAATTGCTGTCACTGGCTCAGGGCTGGCACTTTTTAATCTTTGTTAAAGCTGAGTCCTGCCTGGATATTGTCATTTTTCTCCATATACCTAAATCCTTTGGGGTCACCAAGGCTCAGTCTTATATTTTCCTCCATGATGAAGGTGGCTTTCCTATTGATTTCTTCATTCTTCTGAAGAATGAAGGCACTCGTTCTAGATGCATCACATAATTTAGCCTTTGATGATGTTGTCATTATTTTCTTGTGTGTAGGTTTTGATTTTTCCTGAACATAGGCAAAATACTATATTTTTATTGTAATTTCCTGCAACGTTTAAGCACAGGGCTGGTGCTCAATACACAAATAATTGGTTATTTATGAATAGGTGCTAAAGTAATGTTTCCTATGTTGAAAAAGACAGATAGGATTTAGAACAAATACTAGTTGCTTCACTAGACTTTAAAGACAATGCATTCACATATCCCTCTGGGAGAGGATTATATTTCACAGGGCAAAAATACATTTGATATGGCAGGAAGGAAAGAAACTGGACTGACCAAGGAACACAAAATTCAAAATGAGCACTGAAGTATGGAGTAAGCAAGAAAGTATATTGAAAAACACCCGTTGTGTCTTTTGAAGTCTAATATTACATTTGCTTTCCCACTTAGCACGAGATCGTATACTCCAATCACCTGGATCATTTTTTGTCTTTCAAAGATTAATTTGCCTGAATTTACATGACTTGTTTTCCATTTAAATGCTTTCTCAGGCTTTTCACTGGGTTCTGGAGAGAGCTGCTGGCAAATCTGGAATCCAGTTGCTTCTCTCTTCAGTTGTCATGGTGATTTCTCACTTTTGTTTAGTTTGTTCTTAGTTAGAAACATCCATAAGTTTACCATCCAAATGTCCTAACACTGTTATTTGAATTCTATTTCTTCCTCTTTAGTGAATCTTTCAGAAAAGCTCATGTTTGCCTTTAAAATTCATTGGTATAGATGGTCCCTTTAAGCATAGTGTAATCCAGGAGGGAAGTTGCTACTGAGGAACACAGCCATTCTTCAGACATCACCAAATGCCAATCTCTTTGCCCCCTACCCACCCCACATGCCTGTGCACATGGACACACACACGCACACATGCACACACATACACAGACTTTCCCTTCAGAGACAAAATAGTCACAGAAAGTCAAACTCACAGCCACTGATTTATCTCAAATAACTAAACAAAAGGGCAATTACACATTTTTCAGAGTATGAAATGATGCATTGATAAGGTAAAACAAGGCCTTTGGAATTTGGTTAGAAAAGGCTTTCAGTTAGGACTATCCTAAAGCAAGCTAATTTCTAGTAAGAATAGCTGTGTTCCAAGCAGAGATTTATCATTGATTATATCCAGTAGTGTGCCTGAGGCTGAATAGTGTAGCAGTTAAGAAGCCTGGTGCAGAAGTGGGAGAGCCCTGGGTTTGGATCTCATGTTCACCATTTACCACCTGTGTGACCTTGGTTGGGCAAGTTATTATTTAATCTGTTTTTACATGTATGAAATGCACCACTTTGTCAGTTTTTGGATTTTTAAAAAATAAAGAATAAAATAATATACAATGTCTGGTATATAGCAAGTGTTCATCCATTATGTGCCGGACACTCTTCTCGGTGCAGTGAATACATCAAAATTCCCTGTCCTCATGGGAGCTTACATTCTTACTCATTTAATAGGGAGACAAGACAGACTGTACCATGCCAAAGTTAGGCAAAGAGCAATTCCACCCAATACCAAGATCATCACACAGGGCAGTGGGAAAATGCAGCACTGTCAAATGAAAAAAGACGTTAGATAAAATGAATTCAGTGAGCAGTTTGGTTATTTTAATTTTCTCTCCCTTTTAGAGGGTGTCAAAAGAAAGGTCACCTCCTTTCAGGTCGGTGGGTATGACTTGCCTGTGAGATCAGTCTGGTGCTGCCCCTACACTAGCCTACAATGTGGTTCTTTGGACCAGGTGGGTTTAGTCTGCACAGCCCCCAGAATTCTGTTCTGTTCATAATCTGGCTATCCTAGGACTTTCCCTAAACCCATTCTGGAACCTTCCAAAGGCTGGCAACTCAACTTTCTGCAGAGTCCCCCAGGAAGGGGGAAAAGATCACAGATCACGTGACCTGCTCTCATTGCCCCCAGCTGAGTGACTGGTCCTTTGCTCAAATTCTCTATGGTATTTTAATACGCAGATTGTTCTGCCTTACCCTTGCCAGTGGTTTATGTTTTACTTGCTTCCCTGTTTTTGTGTGTGTTACTCCATTTTTAACTAAAAACTGCCAAATTATTTGGTAGGACCCCAGCACAGCATCGGAACCTCTACTGTTGCTTTATGAGACACATAAGAGAACATTTTTATCCTTTTTATACAAAGAATCATATCCAAAATGAGGTGCGGCTAAATGATACATGCAAATTGGAGCTCTTTAATGATTTTCTCAGCGTCCTAGGGTTGGGTTCACCGAATCTACTTAGATTTAGGATTTCCAAATTGCTAAATAGAAAGCCAACAGCAGCACCTCTGGGATGTCTGACAAACCCCCTTTGCTTGAGTTCTGGCAGGAAAACAGGACAATCTTGTACCAGTTTATCTCATATGTATCAATGGAATTTTAGTTTCCAACCTCTGAAGCCTGAAAAGTGTCTTAGGGTTATCTCTGTGGGTGGCATATGAGGGAAAGGAACATGTTGAAATCCACACAGGACGTGTCAACCAAACATGCTGCACAAACTGGACCCAAACCTTCTCTTTGCTACCCATTAGGAAACTGCTTTCCTGTCGAGCCTTCCTATTGCTCTCCTGCCCCCCTTCCTGTCTACAATTAAAAAGACTGGAAGCTCACACTTCTTTTCTGATGTAGTCAGGAGCTATTCAGCTATGTTAAATAGATGTTTATGTAAAACTTTCCTAAGAGACTTGGCCTTCCCTCATACTTCAAAACCAGAATTCCAAAATATTCCTCTATCCAAAAAGAGGAATGAGGCCTGGAAAAGGAGGAAAATTAACAAAGATAGGTCATAAACTTGATATCTAAGGCCATTATTAAAAGAAAGGAATGATCTTTCCAGTAATCTAAGTCCTTTAGAAAAAAGAGAGCATTATTCATATTCTAGTCTTCCAGCAGTCACACCTTACACAGGACTTCAGAAGCCATTATCCAGAGTTCACAGATATTTTGGATTTTCATTTGTTATGGGTGAGGCAGAATACTGACTGTAGCCAATACTTACACAGTACTTATTATGTGCCAGGCACTGTTCTGAGAGTGTACAAGCATCACCTCATCCACTCCTCACATCCATGATGAGTGAAACTACCACTGTTATCCTCACTTTTCAGAGAAGGAAATTGAGGCAGCAGGTAAATAGAAATTTGCTCAAAGCCATACACAGTTAGCAACAGGACATAGCTGGGGTGTGAATATAGACAGACTGGCTCCAGAGTTGGTGTTCCTCTGCATGCTATGTGCCTGAAATGCTGGAAAAGAATTTGTCAGGGTACTTAGGAACCCTAAAAAAGTGGTGCAAGGGGTGCTTTTCAATAAGATAGAACAATGGAGGGTAAAATGTAAGGAAAATAATAGTTACACAAGAAAAGTCTGAAAGCAAGAGCGATACCCCTTTCAATAAAGATGCTTATTACTAGGCAGGCTTTTATTTGCTCTGAATAAAGGTTGGTTGATGACCATTTTTAGATCATTAGGAAAATTAAAAATTGTGTTTTATTCTTCAATTACCCAGGCTGTAACCCCATCACTTTGCTGAAAGTTTTATGTAAATAAAGATGCAAGAAGAGACCAAAATGAGCAGCTGGTGTTACTTCTGTTTTGAAACAGGTATGTTCTGATTGGAAAAGATGTTTAATGAATGACCTGAGCCGACTCACCAGATGCTGACAATGAAAGATTTAACTCTACCAATTGGAGGTTTCTGCCTCAGAAGATGAGGTACACCCTCACCTGTCTGACAGCATTGTAGGAGTAATTAGCAAACAGGGAATTCAAGAGTGAATTAAAGAACTGAGCCATGAAGGCTTCGTTCAAATACTGGCTGTGTCTTCCAGGAGGGGTCACCACGTTTATGGAGACAAACTTAGCAGGAAGTAGTGAGATTACTTTTTCCTTTTCTAGGCTGTGAATGAAGAGTTGTTTAGTCTTCTAAAGAGACAATCTGGCTAATGTTCATACTCACAGGATGTGAAAACATCAAAAATAGAATAAGAATTTCATTATGACAAAAATAATGCAAGGTCAAAAGAATATATTTAATATAGTCACCAACACAGAACTGGCCCCTTCTGACTGGCTCTGGAACTGTTGTCCAATTTTACAGAGTATTTTAGATGTATTTTTATATAAATGAAGAAAAACACTTGAACCTATTGGGTCTGATGCAAAGAGAAGCTGGATGGTGTGACATGAGCTTTCGTTGACTCTGCCACTGCCCCACAACCTAGATGTAGTTTTACCTAAAAGGCTGCATTGATGATTTCATCTTTAGACATTGGAACTTTCAGAAGGCTTCCAAATATTAGTTAAAAAGTAAATGTGAGTAGGCTGTGACCCAAATGCACATTAACAATTTTTAATATACATTTTGTTTTGCTTTGTCAACATGACCTTTAATTACCTGCCAGCGGTAATCTTCCTTTTCATGGTACTGTGTTTATGTTGAACAAAAGCCTCAGAAGAGATTTCTTCTGACATAAAAGAACAAGGCAGTTTTGATTTGGGGATTAAAAACCAGACTTGTTTGTTCTTAGATCCATGTCGCTTAAAAAGGTTGACTCAGGTTTCTGTGGTTTATCTAACCTAGATGATGTCCTGATAATCTACTCTTGGCCTTTATTTATTCTCAATAATTATAAACACTTGGCAGTTAGGACCTCATTTAGAAGACTTCTAGGCAGAAGAAATTTAAAAAACCCTGGAAGTCACTTCTGAAAATAATGATGCTTTTCTATTCTCCTCTGTTTTCTCTTCTGAATATTTAACATATCTAATTATGGCACAACTAATTCTGGTGTTCAGAATTAGTACATGAATGGTCAGTTTTGGTAACCAATGGGTAGGTATAACCCATCTCACATTCTTTTTGGAACCTAGGCGAGCACAGATGCATACAGAGTAAACGAGTCTAAATGCAGTGGTTCTCAGCTTCCGCCACACATTACAATCACCTGGGTAGCTTCCAAAAACTATGCTGCCTGGGCCTATCCTGATAGATTGAGTTAATAGGTGTTGGGGAGGGTCCTGACATCACCAGTACCACACAGCTCCCAGGTGATTCTAATGTGAGCCAGGTTAAAGAGCCAGGTCTGGTATTGTGGTGGAGTCAGAGGACTCTGGAGGCAGACAATTCAGCCATGGTGCGCTGGCTCTGTTATGTATGTGAACCGGGGTGAGTAATTTGACCTCTCTAAGGCTGGGTTTTCTAGTTTGGACAATCACAGCTATTGTGCAGGGCTATTGTAAAGATTACATGCATTAATGAGGCAAATTAAGTGCCTAATGCAGTGCCCAGCACATGGGAGGTACCATATAACTGCCAGACTCTTCTCATACTTCCAAGTGTCTTCACATCTACTTTCTGAGTTAATGTTCACTTCAACCTTGTGGGATAGGAGAAGAATACAGACTTGCAAGTTTGGGTGTCTACAGGTTTGGCTAATTTAGACTTTCATATCATTTCATTATTAAAATAATTTCATATCCTCTCTGTCCTCTGGAGAATCTCAGGTCCTCAGTTCGTGGAGCTGTTTTCTTTACACACTCCCTTAGTGATCTCATCCAATCTGATAGCCTAAAATAACATCCACAGGCTGCAAACTTCAGCCTGGATCAGGATTCCAGACTCCACTGGATGTCAAAAAGACATATCAAACTTCACATGTGCAAAATCCAAACTCTTGATCTGTTCCCACATGACTTTCAACCGCTAACATCTGCTCCTCTGCAGTCTTCCCTAAGCCAGTAAGTGGATCCTTACACCCCTCAGGCCAAACATCTTGAATTCCTTTCTTTTACCTACATATCCAATCCACCAGCAATTCCTATTAGTTCTGTGTTCAAAATATATCTCAAATCCAAAGCCTCTCAACTCTTCCACACCTATTACCTTTGACCAAACCACCCTAAACTCTTGTCTGGATAAAAGCCTCTTTCTTGAGTGTTCCTTTCTCACTGCTACACCCTCCCACCAAACCCCAGTCTACTTTTAACACAGCAACCGTAGGGATCCTTTCAAAGTAGAAGTGAGATATTGTCCCTCATCAATTCAAAACCCCCAATGGCTTCCCCTCTCATTCTGAGTAAGAGGCAAGTCCCTACAATGGCCAATAAGGCCTAACACAACATTACTTGCCCCTCTACCATTACCATTCCCTGGTCTCCTGTCTGTCTCACTCATTCTGCTCCCAAGGTGAGCGTCTTCCTCCTTCTTCCAACATGCCAAATGCACTGTTGCCTCGGGTCTTTGCCTTCACTGTTCCTTCTCGTTGGAATCTCCTTCCCCAAAATATCCACAGGCTTGCTCCCTATTTCCCTCAGGTGTTTTGACCCAATGTGCCCTTTACGGCTGAAACCTTCTCATCTCCACCCTGGCACTCCTTATTCTCCTTTTTGGTTTTCTTTTTCTCCATTGCTTACCACCATCTGATGTGCTGTATATTCAAGTGTCTGCTTATTCCCATTAGAAATTTTGGAAGCTAGATGAGGGCAAGAACTTTTTTGGTGTTTTGTTCACTGCAGTCCCCCTACAGCCTAGAGCAGGGCACGTAGTAGGTACCAAATAAATACTTGCTGAATGAATGAATGATTGAATGGATGGATGAATAGATTATGTTTTAAAAGCATCTTTTCACTGGCACTGTAGAGAGCAAACTTGTAGCAAAGGCAGCCCTGGGAAGTGTCACAGCTACAATTTCATTAACATGCTCAGCTTCAGTACAGATGACATTCCAAATCAGCTGGCTTCCTGGGGCCCAGGAATCTTTTGCGTTGCGTCCAATTTTGTATCTCCTTCTGCCCCCAGGGTAACTTGTCAAAAACCTACTGGGTACCCCATAGCTTGAAAAAGTGGGTAGCTAACTTTAATTTCTGGCTGGAGTTGTTTGGATGGGGCTGTAAATGGGGACATAAGGGGAAACTGTTACCCTTGCTTTGCAGCTGTAGGCTCATGTATTCTTTACTATAAAGAAGCATGGAGCGGGCTGTCATTAAAGACACTCAACCTGGTTTATAGTGTCTGGTTCAATTAAGAGAACTTCTGGGAAGAGACATGACCAAATAAATAATTGGAGAGATGCAACTCTGAAAGGACAATTGTTTTTTATCGATCTCTGTTTGCAAGTTGAAATTGAGAGATATAAACTTCAAGTGGATGGGCTCTCCTGGGTGAGAGTCTTCACTTCAAACGCAGTAAATGAGTGTTGTTTTGTGATGCACATTTTAGTACTGCTAGAGGCAAACTTTCTAAATATTAATAATAATAAACAAATTCCTCTGCAACTGACAGAGAGTGCACAGATGAAGAGGGATTTCCAGGAAACAGGGCGTTCTGGTCTTCTGGATGTGGCAAAGTCTTCATCAGAAGGGACAAGCTCCAGAACAACAGCAAGTGTGCCCCTCATTTCTTTGGAATTCCCCTTTCAGGAGCTCTGAGAGCATGTGAGTTGATTTTTAATGTGTAAAATTAATCTCTTTAGAGCTACCTCTATTATAAGGTAATTTTTAGTTTGAAATTAATATGAAACTATGGAATTAAAAGCTTCTAACACTAAGAGCTGTCATTAGGAAACACAGTGACAAGGATTCAATATACTGTGAGGTGCCACTGTACAATATGTGGGATTTTTCATGTCTCCTTGCCATTGAGCTGTAGGTGACAACTGCAGGTAGAGCTTAGCTACAATGAAGCTGACACATGCAAGCACTCGGCCCCTCTTGTTCCTGCTCCATCACTCAGGTTGAGCGAGCAGCAGACAGCTAACACGCCACTCATAAGTACTTCTAGAGGGCTGGGTGGTGTGATGGAAAGGACGTGGGCTTTGAAATTAGAGACCTGAGTTTAAATCTTGACTGTGCCACCCACCAGCTATGTAAGCAGATGATCTTACCCTAATCCCCCTCAGTTTCCACATCTGACTCAAATGAAGTTAAAATAACTATCTCGAAGGGTAGTTAGAGGTTTCAAGTGAGACAGGGTATAGGAAGTACCTAGCATAGTGCCTGGCATAGAGTGAACATCCCCAAAATGATAGCCATTAGGATTGTTGTTGTTGTTGTTGTTATTATTATTATAAGAAGTAGCATTATGAAATAGTATTATGTGGCTCAAATTCAGCAGTCTACCAGGACTGGCCAGGGAGGGGCTTGTCACTGAGATCATTCAGGATGAGGTGTGCAGCACTTCTAAACACTGTAGATGGTGACGCGCTGTGGACTGCCCCAGGAACTGAAACTCCCTCCCGCTGATGCTGCCCAAGCTCCCACAGGCCTCATCTGTTTACAAGCCCTGTATTCTTAACAAGTGCTCATGATCATATTGGGTCTACTGCCCCTCTCAGAGCACTGACTTCTGGGAAGCAGTGATTCCCATCTTCTGTTCTTTACTTTCTTAAAAAAAAATCTACAGTAATTGTGTTGTGAGAGTTTTAAAAAAATCACATAGGTCCCCTTTCATAAAGGGATTTATATAAGGATAACTTTCAAATGGCATTCTGAATTTATTTTAAATATGCTTCAGTTTTGCCCTCAGCTTGCCAGGAAGACAAGATCTGAAAGAAAGCAAGCCCCCGCTGTAGTGAGTGCTAGGTATTTTGGGCACTAAATGGGTGGTTCTCTTTTGCTCAGCTTATACTTTTTTATTTTAATTTATTTTTTTTGAGACAGAGTCTCACTCTGTCACCCAGGCTGGAGTGCAGTGGCATGATCTTGGCTCACTGCAACCTCCGCCTCTCGGGTTCACTTGCCTCAGCCTCCCAAGTAGCTGGGATTACAGGTGCCTGCCACCATGCCTGGATAATTTTTGCATTTTTAGTAGAGACGGGGTTTCACCATGTTTGTCAGGATGGTCTCGATCTCTTAACCTCACGTGATCTGCCCCCCTCGGCCTCCCAAAGTTCTGGCAGAGAAGTTACAGGCATGAGCCACCACGCCTGGCCTAGATTATACCTTATATTAATAAAATACTGGCATACTTTTACATCCAAATACTGTTGTTTAACCAGATTAATACAAATGAAACTCAAAAGGACATTTGAAGTTAGGCAAAATATGGTAACCCCAGCTACAGATTAGAAAAACTGGAGCCAGGTTTTTATCCTTCCTGGACAGGACCACAATACCATATATTGAAACCATGGAATGAGGAAGAGGGTGATTGCTGGAAATTAGGGTCCAGGCCTACTGAATTTTTTTTAAATGATTGCTTATTATTATAGAATACTTAGTAGTATATCATAAGCAGTTATGTCATAAGGATATTCTTTTGGTTGATGATGAAATATAAAGTATTTAAAAGTAGGGTATACTGTGGCCAGGCTAAAGTAAGAAAAACAACAACCAACCACCCAGAGTTGACTGAAACTGGTTCCCACCATCATCAAAATGTACCCTACACAAAACCTGACTGAATATTCTGCTAGATCAAAGCTTCCCTAAGAATCTGGGTGCATGAGCTAGCACATCTGAAACCTGAGAGGTGATTCTAGATATCAATAATGAGTGGCTCTCAAACTTTAATGTGCATGATACCCTCTTTTGAAACGTGTTACATGTGTTGGACATCAGGGTTTTATCCTTAAAATTCAGAATCAGTAGGCTTCAGCAAATCTGTTTTTTTTTTAAATTTTTATTGATTTTAAGAAACAATGTGCTATAATTTTGAGGATCACCCTTTGAGAAATGCTGGTCTATGGTGTCCATCCCAAGGGCTCAAGATTATAAAGCTATATACTTAAGCCCTTCAAAATCAGAATTATTGAATAGTAGAGCTAGAAGAGCCCCAGAGATCATCTAGTCTGAACTTTTCAGCCAGTGGACCACAGGGTTGAGATGTTTCACAGCACAGGGCTCTTTCTGCAGAACTCTCACTACAGCTTAGCATGGTGGCTAATAGCTAGGTCTGGGCTTGATTTCTGGCTCTGCCACTTGGGATCATGTGACTTGGGCAAGTTATGGATCACTTGGGAACTTCCCTTATCTAGTGTGATTGTGGAAGTCATGTGAGCTGGTTCCCACAAAGTACTTATGGGAAGTGACCTACAGCAAGCTGGTCATGTGAAAGTTCTGGATTCTTTCCAGCAGATAAGGTATAAGCAGGAGATAAGGTATTCCAGCAGATAAGGCCAAAGGAAGTTTAAGGTAGGTGAAGCTTAGCTGTTCTACTATAATTTTGCCAGCAGGTTTTAATGAATGTAGTTGTTGCCCCCATAGAAGTTTTGTTTTTTTTTTTTTTTTTTAAACTCCACATATACTAGTAGTTGAACACAAAAATATTTTATGCAACCTACCCTATAAAATGGCAGTCTCAGCTTGGACTTTTTAGGTGCTCTCAGAGCACCTTGCATGAGAGGGTCCCTCAAAGCTACATAATGTCATTCCAGAGCAGAATTTGGTGATCTTCCAGTCAGGTTCAGGAAACCACAGATTCTCCCAACAGTAGCTGGACACAAAATGAGGTAGGGATCACTCTAGCACATCCCTGCTGGTTTCATATGCAGACTATGGGATTTGCCAGATTCTTATAGCAAGTGGGAAGTCTCTCACAAACTTTTAGGCAGTCCACATATGAATGAGAACCCATTTATTATGCTGATCATGCAAAGTAAAAAGTCAGTAATTTCACCAATCAAAACCTGTTTCTGAATTCATTATGCTAATTAGTAATGTCTCTGGTTGATAGAGAGATAACAAAAGTATTTGTTGTAGCTGCCTCTGGAGTGAGTATTTCCTTTTTGATAAAGTTGTGGCTGAACACTACAGTGAGAATTTTCTATGAGAGCTGTTCCTGGCATTGAAGTCTAAACTAACAAGTACATACATAATTGCCACACTGACCACAGAGAAGTATTTTAAAGTAAACTACTTTATGTAACTAGCACTTAGCACAATGTTTACCTATTAAGTACCCAATTAATGTTTGCTGCTATTATTACTATTGAAAACGTGTTGAATAAATCAAAAAAGGTATACAAACTCTGTTATATAAGCTGAATAAAATAATAATCTAAATAAAAGTAATCTTACATTATGCAAATCCAGAATCACTTTAAGTCTTAATTTAGCTCTGCTTCCTACATGGTATCAGAAATTTGGGTTAAAGTTCAGTGAAGGCCTGGTGCAGTGGCTCATACCTGTAATCCCAGTGCTTTGAGAGGCTGAGGTGGGAGGATCGCTTGAGGCCAGGAGTTTAAGACCAGCCTGGGCAACATAACAAGGCCCCAGTCTCTACAAAAAAATTAAAAAAAAATCAGCCAGGCATGGTGGTTCAGGCCTGTAGTCCCAGCTACTCAGGGGACTGAGGTAGGAGGATGGCCGGAGTCCAGGAGTTGGAGGCTGCAGTGAGCTATGATCATGCCACTGCACTCCAGTCTGAGTGAGAGTGAGACCCCTATCTTAAAAAAAAAAAATGTCCACTGAAAAAGGGACAGCAGAAGCCAAAGCCTACATCGTGACTATTTGAGGAAGAAGATAAAACCTTCTCCCTAAGCAAGCTATAACGCAATCTTTTTTAGACCTTAGATTACAACCCATTAGTGAGCTGCAAAATCAATTCTGGATCACATTGTAAAATATATTTCTAAATGTAGATTGTCGTTAAAAACATTTGACGTGGAGGAGGAAGAGAGCATGAGAGTATCAGGGCAAACATCTGGCATATCATTAAGATGAATGATACTTGAGGGTCAAGTTGGAGATCTTTCAGAGAAGCTTTAATATCTTTAATTTCATACCTGCTGTCTAGAACCCTGGGGACTTTCTAAATTTTGATTACAAAGTCTAGATATGCTAGCAATGATTTTCAGACACCATATTCAGAATAAAAAATCCAAACCAAAATAGTTCAAAAATCTCTAAAGAATATTATTGTATTACTTTGTTTGAGAACTCCCATTTCTCTCTTTATGTGGATCAGAAAATAATAGCACAAAATGACAGACACTCCCTCAGTTTTCTTTAGCCTGGTGGTAAAAAATCTACTAGGTCCATAATTTTAGCAGCATCTTTAAGAATCTGTCAAATGGCAAAGACTCCCAAACTGCCTTTCCTCACAGAACTGTAACTCTGAGGGAAATTGCATGACAGAAATATATTTATGGCTCCACTCCAAAGATTGTCTTCTATTTTCTGTCGTTCCTCTGGATTTCTATTTCAACGTTAATGGGTTATTGTGAAACAGTAATATGGCTCTTAGTTTGCAAGAATGGAGTGCACAGTGTTGCCTCATGAAAGGTAAGGCTGGCTCACTAGATCGACTTTAAATAGAATATAACTTTTTATTAATAATAAAGAAAATGTAAGAAATGAGTATCAGTTTATGACTGGGCCACATGGAGATATATGTTTATGGGAGCAATTACAGATGTTAAGTATTTTAGAACTGTCTTATAACCAGCAGTGTAATCAGAAATAATTTTCTTTTTAAATAATTAATACAACAATTC